ATATATATTTCTATGCAAAAATAATCAATAATCTAAGTGATCCACGCAAATTTCAATAAAATATCATTCGTTGGAACAGTCATTTTCTAATTTAGGTAAATTCAAAATCTTACCCGAAACGTTTTTTATTATCAGTTATCGACCAATCACCATAACAATACTCAAACTCTTGAAATATATTCCCTATTCCTCAACTTGACAGCGAAAACATAAGCATAATGCCACTTGTATTGCAAATAACATGCTTATTATTACTTGAATCTCGAATATTTTTACCTACCTTAAAATCTTATTACAAGTTTGATTTTCTTGAAATATTTTGGCTCGTCAGCTTTCAAATCTGACTAAAATCTTCCCTTCTTACATCTTTAGATTTAACTGGCTATATTTTTTCATAATTTTTCTCACGTGCAGGCTTATGATTAAAGCGTTAAATAAGACACATGTTTAACATACTTTTAATTGAAAGCGATTCTAAGACCAACTACACATAGTAAATTATAAAAAATTAATTAAGATGCATCAGTTAATTGGAATTGTAATTTTTCAACCGGATACCCGATAGATTTTTTTTTATTCACGTTCGTTCACACTTCATCTTTGAAAAAAAACGGCGTGTGAGACCTTAAAAATCTATAAAACACTTCGCTCAATTAGCAGCCTTGTTTATCATGTCCGATTGAGGTTATTCTTAAGTATTATCTACCGAAAATAACTTTTTTCATTATACAACAATGTAAACAAAAACAATAGCTAACTCGGCATGAAACCATTTTGAAGACCAACTCCGAGAAATTTGTTTTTTTTTTAAACATTTATCCTTTCACAATAAATTATAACATAAATAAAACGTTGCGTCTTCTAGCTAGGGTATGTTCAAATGTCTGGGTGGTCAAACCACCCAGTGCTTTACGTCATTGCTGCATTTAGTTTTTTTTTTCGAAAGGTTGTGAACGCTGCGTTGTCGACGTTGTCGTTGTTTTAGTATTTGATGTCCTGTTGGAACTTAAGAAGGAGAAGAAGAAAAGAAAAGAAGGTTTATTATGCAATAAACAACATATGATCAATGAGCATTACATCAATAAAGCATATAATCAATTAAATTGAGAATCTCTAAAGTACGCACAAAACGACAAAATTGAAAATGTTACAAGCTCAGTTCGATTGAGAATGTTCATTGACGGTACTGTACTTGTAAATGCAAGCTACTAGGACCGACTTAAGCTGAATTCAACATCTAAAATGAACAAGAAATATCATACACGGTACGATGGCAAATATTGAATATACATGTATGCACAAATATATTATTTCTTTCAATAAATATGCATAACAATAATAAGAGACATTTTAATAATAAGAGACAATATAGATGTCCAACCATTATGTATTTACAGATGGAAAAGTGTTTGATGCTGACAAAATAACTAGTTTATCTACTTTTATGTGTTTTGATTTTTCTCTTTTTTCAAAAACTTTGTATGTAAGTTATAAGATACAGATTTTTTTCTCTATTCAATAATTGCGAAACGTTATCATAGCTCGGGCGCCTCCAAAAAAGTTTTCTGACATATTGTTTCATAAATTCCAAAGAATCTAGACATTTAATTACAAAGTGAAATTTATCTTCTTGTTTGTGACAGCTAGGGCATTTATCTTCATATGGAATTATATTTTGACGACCTCATGTTCCGGTGTATTCAAATGAGCTATGCGATGATTATCTTAACATGTTAATGCTACTCTGATTTTTTAATGTTTAGTGACAGTAACGTAGCTAGTGAATCTGAAATCAAATATATATTTTTTGAAATATAGCCCGACTAGAATCATTTATATATGTACTTAAATCTTTCATAATAGTAGCCATAATGAAGTGTAATAATGTTGGTATAATTTAACAATACTAAGAAACGCTCTTTTTATCTTCTACTCCCTGCGAAGGCCAAATATGATCGATGTTAAAAGTTTCACACTCAATACCCAATTTATCCTACGAAGATTCTTATCTGTATGATTTTCAGACATTTATAATTATATTCAACAGAGAGTTTCAAATTTTCAGGCAGAATTTTATGATATTATAATATATATCTATTTCTAAGGTGAATCTTCCTGTTTCAGCGTAAACAAAACTACTTTGTTGAAATTTTTACTCCAATTAATCCTTTGCAAAAAACATAAATGTGCACGTTCTACATGTACGCCTTTATTAAACCCCAAACATGTCGTGAGTAATTTAGTATCAGATTAATAAGTTAATCAAAACGATCCCATGTATGTTTTGGCTTGATATCTGTAAAGTTGTAAAGACGTTTGTTCATTTTTAAACATTGCCTTTAGGGCTTGAACGAAAAGTCCTTTTTCCGTCTCATTAAAAGAACTACCTGAAGAAAATAAAAAAACCTAAGGTATTTGTTTATAATCTCTACTACATTTTTGCCTAAAAGTGAGTTATCTTACTCCTTTCCTACGGTACAAATAACATTTATTATCTAAATATCATTTTGATATTTACAGCAAGTTTCAATCTATCACAATAATCAGCTTAACATAAAATGTATTTTTGTAAACCATGTGCTGTTTGCGAGAATGAAATAATATCGTCTGCGTATAATAACAGACATATCTTAATGCTGCCAACATCTATACCGTCAATACCCTTAAGTAAAATATCTCAACATCAGTAAGATAAATACTAAATAGGAAAGGAGATAAACATTCTCCTTGTCTAACTCCAATCAAGCAAGCTTTCACTTAAAATTCAAGCATTTAAAATTCATTTTACAGAGATTAAATACCTTTTTAGAATGCAATCCTAAACACCATATCATATTTAATAAGTTTAAACAACACAACATAACTAGCTACAACATCAAAAGCTTTTCTTGAAATCCACAAATGCGCAAAAAGAGTTTACCTCCTTTGTCAAAACCACTGGTGCAGTAAGAACAAAATGTCAACAGTGCTCATTAACTTGAGCTTTAATATATATAAAGTATCTTCAGCCCAGCTGTTTAATCTTTTGTCAAAAGTTCGAGTAAAAATCGTCACTAAAGAACTAATTAAAGTTATGCCTCTATGATTTGCAGGATCATCGCTTTCTCCACCTTTATAACTAATATCTTTCAATAATTTCCAGTATAATTTAGTATTATGGAATCTAGCCTCGGACACTTTTTAGTGTCTTCTTTTCTGTATATCACATAGCCATATCTAAATGCATTAAGACCAGCATAAGATTGTTTTCTTGTCATTTAACATTCGTAATCGGACCTAAGATTTTCTTGTCTTTGCCTATTGTGTGCAAAGTAATCATAGCTTTGGACAATTGCGCATAAACTTTATTCATTGATTTTTGAAATTCTAATAATTTTTTCAATCCGATGTTATGCCTCAAAGCTTCCCCTTACTAATGAATTAACGATTTTACATTTCGTAGTTTAATCTAAAAATCGCCAATTCTGCTTGCGTTCTACTAGTTAAAAAATGTAGTTGTTTTCGTCTTCATCAGTATTCAAATTTTGTTTTCTTGTCCTACTTTCACCGCTTTCAAATTGAACAACCCTGCGCAGTGGTCTGACAAAATTTTAGGCTCTTCGACTTTAAAAAGAATCAAACATATGGATAAGTGATTGACTGTAAATAGTGTTATCAATTAAGCTAACTATCTATTGCCGGCGGCATGATATTGAGGTATTTGATAATAATCGTATATGAAAGTTATTCTCAACGGTAATTGATAGATATATCTGTTATGCTATTATTCTAAGCATATAATCAAATATGTCTTCAGACCAAAATAAGTTATACACTTTGGATATTGATAGTAATTTTGATCTTGAAGACCAACTGGAGATAAGTTTTAGATAACTAAATGTAATTATAGAAAAAATAAATGAGCTGATTTTATGTGCTAAAGCCTTGTCTAGTGTTTGTTGACGGAAACTTGCAACTACCGCTGCCTTTAATACACAAGCCCGATTAAACCGAGTTGGCAATATTCTAGGACCATAAGGATGTCACAGTATCAATCGGTTAAAAAGATCTTATTACTCGTACATCAAAGTGGCTCTCTTACAGTTTAGTATTTCTGGGCGACGGTTCCCATTTGGCAGTTTTGTGTAACCTCTTAGTTTTATCATTCGTCAAATTTATATAACATGTTTTATGTGTATGAGTTTTAATTTATGTTAGTTATGGCATTTTCAATAAATGAACTTTATCATTCAACACAAATGTTTCTTTATATTTTCCTCATGCCAAACAAATTCGATCTAGAGTACTTTTCCCTGATCTTGACAATACTTAAAATGGCAGTTATTTGCGCTAATGAAAAGTACTGCTAAAGATTACATAAAGTCGGAAACAAAACAAAGACTTGCTAATTAACGTTATACAGTTGAAAATATATTTATTTGTTATGAACGACTAAATGGAATCAAAACATTATTACATTCTTCAGTCTGACATCTAAACCTGGCATCTTGTTGACATATATAAAGCTATTTTTAGCAAGTACTTAAGACTGTTTCGGTCACCGGAACGTAAGAAGTTGTTCTTCGGTAGCTGTGGTCATACATTACAATTAACTTGACGACACAACATCATGTGTATAACACAAATGAATGTTTAATATAAACATATTTTTTTACGTTTGCATGCATATTCATTTAGCAAACGTTATGCTCGTATTTGAACTGAACACACTTCGTCATCGGATCTAAAGTATGTCTTTAAGTTTTGTGTTCTTTAGCGTTCAAAGCTAACCTTTTTCCTTCTGATTTGTTAATGGACTGGCCCATTCTCTATCCTGGTTTTTTTTTTCTTCAAAAATTAATTCAATGCAGACGAATATTTTTCCGTTCGGCAAAATATAAAATAAATATTGCGTTGCAAGTGTCTTGTATTTTAAATGTCAATGCCATCACTGAAGCAGTATATATTGATATCAAGTCCAAAGGTCGACAAGTTGATGTACTTTCTGGCACAAGGATTCTTTAATTGTCATCCGATGTGTCCATGTTTGCAGTGTCTGTGTTTTGGAAACTTGTAGAAGCAGGTGGTGTATTATCTCTACTTTGTTTTTTGTAATAATGAGACTGTGACTTCATATGCTTCCTCAACGAACTTGGGTCTGTATAGCTCTTATGACAGCCCGGTGTTTTACAAGCATATGGCCGAGCCTCTTTATGAGTTCGAACGTGTTTGAATCTGTCGCTTGAGTTAGAATACGATTTGTTGCAACCTTCATACGGACAGACGCATGGCTTTTCTCCTAAAAGACAAATATATTTTTAATCACGGCAGAAAATCAAACTGGAAATACAAAACCATTTTGAAATTCATGAAAACATCGAACAATTAATTGAAATATTTTGATAAAACAGGGATCTTATACATATTGTTATTATATTATAATTTACATAAATTATTGATTATAATGCAAAAGACACAAACACATACTGTGGAATATTATTAAAATTTAATCTAACATTAATTATGTATTAAATAGCAAGAAAGAATCTGCCAACATGGTTTTAAATTCAGAGAGGAAAATGTCTATCAATAATCACGCCTGGTTAACAACAGAGCTACCACTTCCGGAGGTATACGGTAAACTACTCAATCACTACTTCCAAGCTAGTGCCATGTCGCAGGAAAAAAACAACAATCTCGTGTTGACTTATTATAATAAATTATATTTTTCGAAACTCTGCTTCGAATATTCAAAACACGAAGAATGCTATACCGTGTAGATTTGATTAAAGTTTTCAGGAAAAGTAAAAGTGATGAATTTATGTTTTAACAGAGCGTTTCCCAGAAAGAGGTAGCTCTGTTTTTTACCAGGAGATAAAGAAAGGCAGTTAAAAGTGTTTACCTGTGTGTGATCGTATGTGAATCTTTAGGTTTTCAGGCCTTGAGAATTGTTTTCCACATCGAGAGCACTTGTGCGGTTTTTCGTTCGTATGAGTCCTGATATGAATCAACAGTTTATACCTGGAAAAAACACAACCAATAAAGTAAACAGTTTACCAAAATTACATTCAACAGATTGAAACGATAAGACAATAACGAAATGTGTTTTCTTTACATGTCGATGGAACAAAAATGAAGAATGTTGAGATTTAGATTTACCTCGCATTAAATCCTTTGCCTTTTCTTGTACAGTCAGCCCATTTGCAATGATATTCAGCTTTTTGTTTCTCGAGATGTTGAACATGACTATTGGCATGACCAAAAAATTCGTTCAAACAAGTAAACGTGCTGCCGCAATTAGTCCACCTGCATTGTAACACGCCATTTGAGTCAGACATAGGTAGCTTGTCAACTTCACGTGCCATATTTTGGATTGTAAACTTCTGTTATAAATGCAAAACATTCCATAAATTAATATCTCATGAACACAGGAACCTAGTGACTCTAATAGCTTAAACCATTTAACAAATAATGCAGTAAATAATCTGTTTGCTAAGCTTCTTGTCATTTCGGAGATTTATTCATTTTGTAAAGATTTGAGAAGTCGGAAACTTGTCGATATGTTTTTAATTCATTATTAATGTTTAGTCTGAGGTTAATGAATTATTATTTATTTATGTCCCTTGTAATGATCGCTTTTTTGAAGATTTAAAAAAAAAAATTCAAAAGAATCAAAGGTCATACTTACTACTTCATCAACACAATCTGGGGAAAAGTAGTTAGCATCTGCCCTTGATCTCAAGTTTGTATGTGATAACACATTCATTGGCGACGATGATTTTGTGGAGCATGGAGAATGCAATATTGGCGAGCGCGATGCTGATAACACTGAAATTGGAGAAAGCATTGATTTAGTCGATGATACTGATGATTCAAAAAACGGTGACTGCCTGAATCGTCCCACTAATGGTGAACCTTCAAGAGGTTGGAAATGGCTTGAATGTGAAGGTGATTTTAAAATTTCTAGAAACGGAGAATGCCTCCACTCTTCGATGGATGCTGGTGCTTCTATATGTGAGGACTGCAAAAAGGTCAAAGGCGATGATGAATTAGGTGAACAATCCCAGAATTGTTCATAAGCGTTTGATGTTTTCAGTTCTGGCAAGTGATTCGACAGTGTAGGCGATGCTAAACCTGGAAAGTCCATATATTGTGACTCCGACGCCGACGATGCTTTTAGAGGAGAGAATAGTGGTGAGTTTGATGGTGTTAGAAACTTTGAAGACACTGGCGATGTCGAAACGTTCATAAGCGGAGAAGGTTTCGATCTTTTATATGATGTAGGAGGCTCTAGTAATGATGACTCTATGAACGAAGGTGCCGAATTATCTGATGTTTTAAAGGATGGGTTCGACAAAAGTGCTGCAGTCACTGACTGTGGTATACGCGGAGAGTGTACTGATGATTCTGACGTCGACCGGGAATGTAAAAGCTGCGATTCCATTCCTTCTTTCGATATCGTCTCTGCGGATGAATTTTCAGTAAAAGATGACTTTGGTCTATCTATAGAAATAATCGGAATAGGCCGAATGCAGAGCGATTTTCTTCTTTGAAATCGTCCATTTGGTGAGGTCCTTAACCTGCATTGACGTCGTTCCTCAACTTTGTCTGTAAAATAATCAATTGTTCACAACTTATTATCATTGAAGATACTTGCAAAATGAATATATTTTAGATAACAAGATAACTTTTCAGCATTTTATATTGCATGTATTTATCGGCAAATTCACTTATTGTACGTTTAAGCATTTTTATAAATTTTTATAGACACTTAAAGGTCCCTTTGGTGTTCAATTCGAATGATTATTTAATTTTTCTAACACTAAATACTCAATACGCATATGAATAATTTTTCTTATTCAATCTTAATATTCATAAATAATTTCATCATATGTTCAGTATGAATTAAATGCCTGACTTTACCTTGTTGTTGATCTTTGATGATATCTAAAGAATCTTCCTGATCATTTTCCATATCTTCCTCGGCTGTATTGCCATGATCATTTACTCCATCTGTTTCATACGTATCCTATAGTTTTACATATTTTATTAAATAATTACTGATTTTACATAATACATTAAAACGTTCGTGTTTTCAAATTGAAAATACAAAAACTACCCAAATTGTAAAAAGACTGCTCACTCTTTTTTAAATTTAAATGTTAGCAAATCATTACTAAAGATATTTATAGAAACTCCAGTGGCTAACATGGATTATTGATTTTATTTTTGCATATTAAAATATAAAACTGAACAAAGATATGGCATAATGTTAAGATATTTTGACTTTTACCTATGCCTTCACCATTTACACTAGTGCATAATGTCACTTTAGATAAAAAAAAGTTTTGTTAACAAAAAGTAAGTATTTACAAAAATGCTTGATATTAAAGAAGCGCTTCGTGTAGCAAAAAGAAAAATTAAATAGCGAAAAGAAATATTTTGCTTTTATTTACAATAAGTGTATTTATCAACATTTTACATTGCTGCATCTATCAGGTGCAAATTAAAAGTTGATGCCTGCAGTTGAAATATTTTCAGTTATCAGACTTTCATCTTTATCATACAAAATGCAGAAAAAAGCACTTCTTTTACAAAATGTCAAAGCCTCCATAAAATGCATTAGACATACCTCGTGAATATTTTCTCTGCCAACGTAAGATTTACTGCGATTCCGTGCAAAAGCAAATTTATGATACCAAACCATTTTCAGAACTATGTATTCCACATATATGATAGTTGCAATGAAAATATAAAATGTTGGCTGGAACATTGTATTTATATATGCTCGCAAAATAAAAAAAAATAACAATAAACAAAAGATGACGTCCGTACATCCATTAATTACAATGTGCTAATAGAAACTATTTCTATATATCCCACAGAGGACACAACAAAAACAAAAGACCAATGCACTCAAATTGGAAGTTATTCTTAGTATATATGATTGTATGCATGCCATTTTCGTGCAACTGGTCGTTCGGCCGTTCGTCCGTCTGATAGCAATTTCGTATCTGGTCTGTATCTTTTGAACCGGCTAAAAGAAATTGAAACTGCTCGGCAGCAATGTTTAGATGTGCGGAACAGTTAACTTCCTCAGATCAAGGTCAAAGATATTTTGTTTGAATTTAAAAAATTCGTGTCTGCTCTGTATCTTTTGAACCAATAGAAAAAAACTAAAACTTTTTTTCAGAACTATATCTTATACTAATAATCAGACAATGTGCAGGACAATGGATTGCAATTCCTGATACCGAAATTGGTCCCACCTTAGAGATACCTTTATGTATATAAACTTATATAGGAAACACGTTTAAGTCTCTTTGAGCGAAACTACATAGTCTAGAGCTTAGAGTTTTGGAATGTAGCATTGCCTTATTAACCTTTACCTAACTAATTTGAATCGTGCCCCTGGGTTCAGTATTGAACTTAGATATTTGACTTGCAGCATCCGTTTGTGGACCACGACATACTCTCCCTTCGCAGCTCACTGAATACACTCGCGCTACTTCAGACATTCGACAGATGCGCAGGATAGTAACCACGACACAACTGGTATTAATTAACATGCCTCTTATTTTGTCCTGGTGGTCACTTATTTAATTAAAAGTTTGTATAGGACAAGAATTTAAGTTAAATTTTTTGAAAGTACAATGTCTAGAGATGAGATATTTGGTATGTAGCATTGCTTTGTTTGGCTTCTACAAAACTGGTATTAGTGATGTTCATTGGGTCAATATTTGGCCCGCCCCCGTGGTCACTTAATTAACATAGATTTATATAGAGAAATTAACTTTTAAGTCTTCTTGTTTGAATATACAGAGCTTCATCTAGAGCTGAGATGTTTACCTTGTGGACCACTACAAAACTGATATTAGTCATGCCCCTGGGGTCCATATTGGCCGCCCCGGGATCAATTGATTTATATAAACACATTTAAGAATTATTGTGTGAAACTACAAAGCCCAGAGCTCAGATATTTGGCATGCAGCATCCATTTGAAGTTTTCAACAAAGTCATATAACCCTAAGGTTCAAATTGGCTCTGCCCCGGGAGTCACTTGTTTTATGAAGGCTAATGTTTAGGAAACATATCTTTTTGTCGAAAATAGTAATGCCCAGAGCTTAGGACTACATTTGGCACATAGCATTGCTTTGAAAACCTCAAAAGTGTTATGACTCATGCACCTAGGGTAAAAACTGGCCTCATCCTGGAATCATTTACTATCTCAAGGATGATTATGATAAAACTTTCTTCCAGACAAATTTCTTGACTGTGTCTCTTCTCAAATTGAAAGGTTTTTTTTTTTTTTTTTGTTTTTTATTACTCAAACAAATTTGTATTCGCTGTATATTGTCTCGTCTTTGCGTTGCCCTTCTTTTAGTTGGGTTTTATGTCGCACTAACACTGTAAAGATTACATGGCGACATTCTATGTTTCACATATTTGTTTAAATGTATCAGGGTATACTTTGCATGTATCAATGAGACTGAAATAAAGAATAAAACGTGACAATATAATATTAGTTATTTTCACCTTAACTGGTAAATATCAAATTTGAAAAGGTATAAGTGTTTGTCTGTAAGCACGGATAATTATCGAAAGATAAAGTCACGTACACAGATGTCGTCCTATTTCCTCTAAACTTATGTTCTATTCTTACAGAAAATAACAACTATACATTATTGTATGGTATTTTGTGTAAGGAACATTTCGGCGATCAAAATTTTAAAGTGTGTAATTAACGACAGCATGTAACTAAACAATTTCCAATATATTATTATACATTTTTACACATCAATAATTATCTTGTTAATCGTCAAAAGCTGGATGCCAAATAATCTCGATAACGTAAGAACGAAATCTTCATGCAAAAAAATACATAAATGCAATTTGATACTTTATTCGATCGATGGTTAATAATTATCCTATTTATTAAGTTCGTTCAACCGATAAAAATGATATTTCTGCAACGTTGTGTCAACACGGTAAATGTCATACAAGGCCTTTTTAAGCTTTACTGGTGGATGAAAACCTCGGGTGATCCGCCGTGCATTATACCAGACGAGGCATCTTGGTAGAACCGCTAACGTTCCGTAAGCTAGCAGGATAGCTTCGTCATATGTAAGAATCCAAAGTCCTTGGTGAGATTCGAACCAACAGCGATGAGGGGCAAGTGGCCACGGACACTCTTTCTTACAATAAATAATAAACACCGATGTACATTATACTATACAAATATGCGTTATATGTAAATAGCACTTGGAAGATCACTGTGAATTTATTGAACGGGAAAATTATCATTAAAAACTAGCAAATAACTTTGTAATACATGTATTTTGTAACAAATCACATGAAATCAGTTCTATACAAATACAATAAGTATCAATCATTTTAAAAGCAAAACGCTCTTTTAACCACAATCGATTTCGTTTTTACTGACCAACAGAGGTTCTTTAATTCTTTCTAGCGATGATATCGTCACTTCTTAAATCAGCATGCCTCCAAATTCATACCTATTTTTTATGAAAATTTTGAAAAGGTATTTAAAAGTAAAATATTGTGTAGTTAACAATGAAATTAATTGCAAACGACATTTTCAATCCTCGTAAATTACCAAACAAAGAGGTCAAACTATCCAAAAACAGCCCTTTACTACTTTAGTCACGCAGTACAAATATGGTGATTACAGAAAGCCAGTCCTTAAAGTGATATTATGTCCATCCAAATGTGAATGGTTAGTGCGCAAGTAAAAGAAAAAATATTCTTTTTGCCACACTTGTGTTCAGTTATATATATTTCTATGCAAAAATAATCAATAATTTAAGTGATCCACGGAAATTTCAATAAAATATCATCCGTTGGGACAGTCATTTTCTAATTTAGGTAAATTCTAAATCTTACCCGAAACGTTTTTTATTATCAGTTATTGACCAATCACCATAACAATACTCAAACTCTTGAAATATATTACCTATTCCTCAACTTGACAGCGAAAACATAAGCATAATGCCACTTTTATTGCAAATAACATGCTTATTATTACTTGAATCTCGAATATTTTTACCTACCTTAAAATCTTGTTTGAAAACAAGTTTGATTTTCTTGAAATATTTTGGCTCGTCAGCTTTCAAATCTGTCTAAAATCTTCCCTTCTTAAATCTTCAGATTTAAGTGGCTATATTTTTTAATAACTTTTCTCACGTGCAGGCTTAGATTAAAGCGTTAAATAAGACACATGTTTAACATACTTTTAATTGAAAGCGATTCTAAGACCAACTACACATAGTAAATTATTAAAAGTTAATTCAGATGCATCAGTTAATTGGAATCGGAATTTTTCAACCGGATACCCGATAGATTGTTTTCTGATTCACGTTCGTTCACACTTCATCTTTGGAAAAAACGGCGTGTGAGACCTTAAAAATCTATAAAACACTTCGCTCAATTAGCAGCCTTGTTTATCATGTCCGTTTGAGGTTAGTCTTAGATATTATCTACCGAAAATAACTTTTTTCATCATGCAACAATGTAAACAAAAACAATAGCTAACTCGGCATGAAACCATTTTGAAGACCAACTCCGAGAAAAATGTTTGTTTTTTTAAACCATTTATCCTTTCACAATAAATTAAAACATAATTAAAACGTTGCGTCTTCTAGCTAGGGTATGTTCAAATGTCTGGGTGGTCAACCACCCAGTGCATGACGTCATTGCTGCATTTAGTTTTTTGGAAAGGTTGTGAACGCTGCGTTGTCGACGTTGTCGTTGTTTTAGTCTTTGAAGAGGTCTATTAAGCAATAAATAACATATGGTCAATGGGCATTACTGTAACATCAATAAAACATACATGTATAATCAATTAAATTGAGAAAAACAGAATCCCTAAAGAACGCACAAAACGACAAAATTGAAAATGTTACAGGCTCAGTTTGATTGAGAATGTTCATGGACGGTACTATACTGGAAAATGCAAGTTACCACCCGCGCCCACTAGGACCGACTTAAGCTGAATTCAACATCTAAAATGAACTAGAAATCATACATGGTACGATGGCAAATATTGAATATACATGTAAGCACAAATATATTATTTCTTTCAATAAATATGCATTATAATAATACTTAAACATTATAATAATAATAAGAGGCAATATAGATGTCCAACCATTATGTATTTACTAGCTAGTATTTACAGATGGAAAAGTGTTTGATGCTGACAAAATAACTAGTTTATCTACTTTTATGTGTTTTGATTTTTCTCTTTTTTTCAAAAACTTTATATGTATAAGTTATAAGATACAGATTTTTTCTCTTTATTCAATAATTGCAAAAAGTTATCATAGCTCGGGCGCCTCCAAAAATGTTTTCTGACATATTGTTTCTTTAATTCAAAAAAATAAAATCTAGACATTCAATTACAAAGTGAAATTCATTTTCTTGTTTGTGACAGTTAGGGCATCTATCTTCATATGGAATTTTATTTTGACGACCTCATGTACCGGTGCATTCAGATAAGCTATGCGATGATTATCTTAACGTGTTAATGCTACTCTAATTTTTCAATGTTTAGTGATTTTACGTAGCTAGTGAATCTGAAATCAAATATATGTTTTTGAAATATTGCCCGACTATAATCATTTATATACGTACTTAAATCCTTTATAATAGTAGTCATAATGTAGTTTAATAATGTAGGTATAATTT